AGGCTAGTGCCTCCAACATTCTAGGATCTAGTTGTCACTACTTTTTGCTTTCCTAGGACATGTATGTTAGTTAGTTGCTCCTACTTTCACTTAGGGTGTTAGCTGTGACATTGCTGTTTTGTGACATTTTATATCCTAGGTTGCATCGCATGGACTCAGCATGAAGCTTGCTCCGCATCCTAGACTACTCAGGTTTTCTTTTCTTTGGTAGAGTTCCGCTTCTTGGCGGAAGCATGTTTGTATCTAGGCGATCCATTACAGGCCGAGGATCGTGTAGCGGACCTCGGGTTGGTCTGTGAGACCAGCCCCTTGGCCTGCTCTCACAGGCCTGTGTTATATTCGGGGTAGGCCAGTCCAGGCCGGTACCTCTGTCGGTACCAGCCAGTCCAGTCCAGTCCCGTCAGTCCGCTGGGGTATACCCCAACCATTGTCTGTTTTCAGTCTCATTCCTCACTTGCACATTTTGGAGTACGTGCGTTGGAGTCTTGCGTGGGGAGCTGCATTGTGCCATCTTGCTCCCCCTTCTTCCTCCATCTCCATCTCTATCACTAGCGGAGCACCACACCTGGTGGGTCCGCTACAGGGAGGGAGGTATGTATCTCACGCCCTATGTTGGCATCAGGCCTCCTGTAGTAATGAGAGCCGTAGGCGGAAGCAGCAGCAGCCGATGGAATTTCTTCGAGCATACAGGACCTGGATGACCGGGAGGAATTGGGGATAGAGTGGAAGAAGTGAGGGAAGTCTTACAGGTGGAAGAGGAATTAGATGTGGAAGGTGACAAGGGAGCAGAAGAGGAACACGAAGGATCGATCGATCCAAACCAATCCCAGGGTTCAAGAATGGAGGAATCCCCTTGCAATCGAGGACACCTGGAAGATTGAGGGTTTGAAGAAAGACTGCTTTTGCCCCTTGTCTGTGCAAGACGTTGTCGAGCGCATCGGCTCCCGCCTTTTTGCAAAGCGCCGGAACCCTCCCGGCCATGTCACGCAGGAGTTTAACCAACCTCGAAAATCAGAGACAACTTGAGGACGACGCACAACATTCCGAGAGCCGCCAAGACGGGCGAGGTCACGTCGTTCCTTCACCGCTCTAGCCGGGTGCGCCATGTTGTTCTCTCTTTGTATCGGATTGGGTTCTCGATACTTTACAATTGTAATTGTGTTTCTCACCTTGGTGATGACGCGTTTAATTGCATGCTTACTGGAATTCTCTTGTAACCAAACACCGTAACCTGCTAGGAGATTATACCTGGACTGGGTGGCGGGATACTACAAAGTGTTGTGATGACTCGCGAAGAGCTGGACGACTCGCGAAGACCTGCAGAGAAGATTTACACAGGGTTGAGATAGCCACGAAGAACGACACGGAGTGCAGAAAACGTCAACGTCTTCGAACGTTCGTTGGAAGTGAGGAGCAACTTGTTTGGAACGGGAAACGATCGAAGATGAGTGCGGAGAGTGCCCCTGGGGGGTTAAGGGGAGTCAGCGGGTCAGAAGGAAGAGATAGAGATCGACAAAGAGGACATAACCCGCTAGCAGGAAAGACGTGTTACAAATGCGGGGAAGCAGACCACTTTGCGGGGATGTGCGTGGAGTACTGGAAGGCGAAAGCACAAGGGGTGTCATTTGTACTGCCACCGGTAAGAACTGGCCGTACGATGAACACTGGACCGGAACAAAAAAGCCATTCAGCTGAAAGCACGGGACCGAGATCGGAGCAAGAAAAGACCAATAGAATGATGAGAGAATACTTTATACAGTTGGCACAGGAGAAGAAAGACAGAGCCGAACGGGAAGCACTTGAGATGGAGCAAGCGAGAGAAAGAGCGGTCAAACTCGAGAAAGAGAGAAGGCGGCAGGAGAAGCTTGAAGAAAAAAACCGATACGAAGATAAGAGGGATGCGAGGTTAATAAGGACACTTCGAGCAGAGATGAAACGGGAGGAGAGTAACGAAGCGAAGAAGTACGATGGTCGAAGCAAAGTGGAACGCGAGGGGAGAAACCAAACAAGAAGAGAAAAAAAAACTACTGAGGCTGTTGGCGCAGGTTGAAAGCGAGGAAGAAGATGACGCAGAACTGATCGATTTAAGGAGGCGTGCATCGGCTCTTCGAATCAACAAGAAGAGGAAGCGGGCCGTGGACGTCACGATTGAGAACAGTCCCCCGATGAAGACACCAGCAAAAGAACAGAGAGTTCGCCTGATTGAAGAAGCGCAGTTACGTATCGAGCATCTCAGGAGCGTCGAAAAAGGAAAAGCTAGCGCATCAGCATCGGTGAAACGAGACCTTACGCCCGCCATGGGCTCGGCTATGAAACTTGGGCTATCACTCAAGCACGTGACAACTGGCACTAACCCAGGTGCTCAGGAGAAGTTCGAACGAGAGATTCGTGAACTCTATGAAGCCCTGACGATCGAAGAACTCAAGGAACAGTGTAAGATCCATAAGATTGCATATGGAAACCGAGACTTAGCAGTGAAGAAACTGGTGACGAGAAGGACTATCGAAGCGTACGATCCAGTGAATATCCCTTCACAGGATACACCACGAGTGGCTACTAGGAGCATCAAGAAGAGTTGTGAAGATGTGAAAGCTCACTCGTCAGAGGAGGAAGCCTCTAACTCCGAATCTGAAGATACGGAGTGAAGAACACATGCGACTAATCTCTGGAAAGAAATTGATGAATTGGCCGAACGAAGACGGAAAGAAGATGGTAGATGTAAATCAGATGAGAGACGGATGTGCGCGTTGACTATTGCGTTAGCAGTAACCGGTGAACTAGAGTGGGCGGCGAAGTTCGTTCCGTACTAGAAGGATGCGTACGAGAAGGGAGACCTAGAGTTATCGACACCTAGGAATTGTGTGTACGTACTTCTATCACCATGGTATAAACAAGCCTATATCCGCATTAACGAGAGGGAGCTGTGGGCGAGATGGCGTGAACATACGGCATGTGCGAAGAAGGGAGGTTGCAAGAAACGTCAGAATCTATATAACTGGTTAGCCAAGGTTGGTGTTCATAAGTACGTCACAATCCCGTTGTACGTGAGTGAAGAGCGGGCGGAATTAGAGGCGGCTGAGAATACGTTGATTCGGACTTGGACTCCGTCTTTGAATACCAAAGGCAAACGGAGATCGACGAAGAAACGTAGACGTAGAGGGAAAAAGGAACGGAAACGAGAGAAGGGACGAGGTACTAATGAACGATCAAGTCAGACGCAAAAGGAGGAGTAAGGAAGGATCTTGAGTCTTACTACGAACGGTTGCCCCAACGGAACCATAAGGGTTGTAGCACTACTGCGAGAGTTACGTAACGCTAGTAAGAGGGAGGATGTCGAGATAACAAGTAACGGCGGGAAAATTTGGTCTGATGGATGGAGATTAGTGCGACAACAATTCGGGGAGAGTAGAGTCAAAAATGGCAAGAGGACGCGTCCAATGAGGAAGTGTAAGCATCTACTAGAAAAGGAGGGGAAAGTTGTGGTGAGGGATGTGGTCGAAGCTTCTCCTTGGACACTGATGCTAAAGCAGGAGATCGTGAGTATGTTAAAAAATCCTTGGAGAAAGCTAACACTGGCAAAAAAAAAACTGGGCGATTTAGTGAAGTATTATGCAGCACCGAAGTTGTTTTCGACTAGCGAAATCGAACCAGAGCCAGAAGACTGATCTCTGACGCAATCAAGGCGAAATACGGAACGAACGTGAAACGTCGGCTTATCGTAAAGAACAGATTTGATGAAAGAGTAAATAAAGGAGAGGTAGTGAGATTGTGAGAAGGAAAGAAGGAGAATTACCATTTGAAGGATCCGTAAAGGAAATGATACGACGACGCACCCGTACCGTTTGGACGAGACGTCCGAATATCGATGATTTTTTACACAATCATCGACGTATGGCGTCCGATGGCGTCAGTACGTGCGGATGCACGGATTCGTCCCTACCAAAGGTTCAAGGACACGTTCATTTCCGGTTGAGCTCATGGGAGGGTTGTCCGAGAATTGCAAGGAATGCTAAAAACATTCCTGTTGACACGTGTCAAGACGCGCAGGGCAGACTAACTGAGGAATTGACAGAGGCTTTCAAGAATTTTGACGAGCCATGTTGCGACACGAGTCGTGTAGTGTTTTCGGCAGAAGAGATAAGAGCGTGCCTGGATGACAGCCAGGGAAAGGAAGATTCGGAAATGAAGGATATACAGTTGTTGAAGAAACAAGTGGAAAGGTTGGTCCTCTGTTCATTAGATCGTAATCCTGGAGAAACCCTGGTGTTGTGTGCGAGGACGTATGCTACAGGCATGGAGAACACTTTCCAGAAAAATGAAGGATATGAGGTGGTGAAGAAATCAGAGGAGGAAGTTATCGAGGATATGCGGCAGGAGTTGGGGGATACAAAATTTCAGAAATTGGGAAAGTGGAGGAAGAATGGGCGACTAGGCCGGGCGTATGCACTTCCTAAACACAAGGACACTGCAAAGTACCGACCGATTTGCCCCACGTACAACGAGTCGGGTGTAGGTGTGTGCAAAAGAGTGGCTCAGTGCCTGAACGGGATATTATTTGATCTCCCAATGGAATCTCATTTCAACTTGAAAACAGTCTCCCAGTTGAAAGAGAATTTGCGAAGAGTTGACAAAAAGTTGTAGAGGGCATGTAGAGATACGCAAGTGTTAGCCGCGTCATATGACATTAAGGACATGTTTAGTAGATTACCGCATGAGACAATTTTGCGAGCGGTAGATTGGTGTGTTTGGTGGTTCTCAAGGAAGGGACTAGATGGAGTGTTTGTGAAAACGAGGGGAAGAGGTGCTCAGATGAGCAAGGCGTCGAAAGTGGAAGGACACGTCCACATCGGCTTTGGTCTGATAATGGAGTACGTTCAAAAGGACTTGGAACACTGTTACACTGTGGCAAGCGAGGTGATCCTTCGACAAACCATTGGAATTCCAATGGGGAAATCGTCAAGCCGACCGTTAGCTTGCCTGATGTGAGCGAAAACCGAATCAAACTTCTTGATGACGTTAGGGGCATAAAAGCGCTATGTGGCGGGGTTACGTTTTGTTGATGATGTGTCATGCTTCGTGGCACACAATGCGTGAAAAAAAGAACGGGAAGAAGAACACGGAACGGATAAATAAGAAATTTGAACAGTGTTACGACAGTGCATTGACATTGAAGAGAACAGACGGTGGCGGACAAACATAGGAGTTTTTGCGATGTAGACGGACAATCGGAAGCTCGTATCCGTTCCTGAACCGTTACCAAAGTGTGAAGAACGAGGCAGATTTGATGGAAGGGAGAGACCCGATTTTCGGTACTTGTCAAGACTTCGAATCATGGTCATGCAAGAAGAGTAAAATGGTCGTGATCACGAGCATGCTACATCGCATCGCCCGTAACTCATTCTCAAATCTGGGGATGTTGAATGCGGTACTTCTCGTGAGAATGAAACTGAGACGACGTGACTACCCAGAGCATTTCTTCAATAGGACAGTATGAAACTTCTCGAGAAACAAAGAGAATGTGTGGAAGCTGATCGCAGAACTGTGCTGTGCTAAGTAGGATAGGATTAAAATGAGTATGTGAATGTCCTGTAGAATACGATAAATGTAGTAAGTATAGGAAGCGGTTGGTATTATTTTAGACTAATTACTGTGTCTGGATATGAACACATTTGAAACTTGAATGTACCAATTGTTTAAGAATGTTTGTGATCGTAGAAGTTGCTGGAAGGAGTAACCAGTGTTAACCCATAGATAGCGTATCCTTGAGTCTGAATTTGAATATTTTGTCGGCCTAATAATGCCTGTTTGATTTGTTGAAGTAGCTCGTGTGTGGTATGGTAGATATAACAACTAGGGTCTACGCCCAGATAGAGCGACCAGGGTTGAAGCTCACATGTAGCAAGGTTGAGAGTTCGAACCTAGCATGAAATTGTACTAGTTGCTAAAGTAATGAGTATGATAAGAGCTCGACTCCAAACATCAACAAGGAAAATAGTGGGATGGGCCTGAAAAAATCGAAAAAATCGAAAAAAGTAGATCACGGTTTCGACTTCAACGTCGATACGGGAACCGGACCGCGCAAACAGTTTTGGCGGGACTGGTACGAAGTAGATTTTGACGATTTCTCGGTGGGACTGAGGCGGAGTAGATTTTGACGAGACGAGGCCGGTATATATGATGGGTAACCGTCGTAGTAAGTCCTTTCTTTCGTGATCGATTCAAGCAACCGTGGAAGGATACGTGTGCACCGTGGGTCGAGTCGGCGGATCTTGGGAATGTGGCCGCTATGGTGGGGCGCGTGTTCACGGACTGAAAACAGTATTGGATATCTGAGTTCTTTCTTTGTATCAGATTGGGTTCTCGATACTTTGCAATTGTAATTGTGTTTCTCACCTTGGTGATGACGAGTTTAATTGCATGCTTACTGGAATTCTCCTGTAACCAAACACCGTAACTTGCTAGGAGATTATACCTGGACTGGGTGGCGACGGTCCCACACCCAGACGTAAAGTAAGGTTTTTGGTGTTGGACATCACGGTCGTGTCACGCAGAAGTCTCTCTCTGTCACTTTAATGAAATACCAACTCCGACCGTGCATGTGTGCTATACCTCTCGCGACTCCCTACGACAGGTTAGGGTCCCGCGAGGTACAACATACCTCCACCCGAGGGAGCTGTCACCATCCCTTAGGTGGGCGTATCCCTGCTGAGCTACTGACTCACATACGAAGGCTTTTACATGCAATCGCAGAGGTAGGTCAGTCGACGGCGTTTTCTCGATTGCCGTAGCATAGGCATACGCGCGGTAGAACACCTTAAGACTGACCCGCATGTCGAGCCCCGAGGTGCTAACGCTCCGGACCGACTATCTAATCAAGTCGACTTCTCAGACAGTCTTCCACGCTTAGCTAACCATGACTTTATGTTTCTTTTGTTGACCTTATGAAAATGTCAGAGTCAAGCCCTTAGTAATCTCTCATTCTTCCCAAAAGAAGTCCCAGACAAATGACTTCCTAGATACCGACTAACCTACTATCTCACTCACAGATATGTATATAAGTATGTGTATAATATCAGGGGAGCTGAATGAGCGGTGGACCTCACTTTCACAGTTGTTGTGTCCTGTTATTCGAGTATCCCAGGTGATCCCAAACTTAGAAGACAAATCAATGCTCCACGATCTAAGATCTGGTTAGATAGGACGAAAAACAAATGTTTAGGATATTCCTAAAGGACTATCCAACTTCGTAAGTAAGAGCAAAATCAAGCAAATAATAGGGTGACCCTAATAAGAGTCTCCCTATCACCTTCTTCGGTAATGAGTTGTCCATTCTTTAAACAAGTAATAGGACGACCACTACAAGAGTCTTCCTATTACCCATTTGGTGATCGGACTGTTAGAGGGTAAGTAAGTTGGTAGAGAAAGATCAGTAAGGTGACTTCCTATTATTCGTAGGTTATTAGTTAGTCTTAGATTCAAGTGTGTGAATAGGATGACCCTCACAGGAACCCTCTACAATACCTCGAATGAGTGCAAAGACTGAACCTTCTTGAGCTGGTAATAATAAGAACGGTCAACACTAGAATCCCCCTATCCTCTTGATTAGTATCAGGTAAGCAACTTATTAGTAACCAACCAAATCATTAGTCATACGTAGGTGAATAGTTGGGTTACTCATACATGAGTATCCTACTGTTACCCAATCACCCCCACTCCACCTTTTCTCTGAGTTAGTTGGTTAGGTATCAAATAAGTAGTATAAAGACTCGCACAAAAGCCTCTCATTACTCGTTTGTTTCATAGGATACTGGTAAAACAACCTCTTATCGAAGTTGTTTTAACCATTTGCTTATTACGTTATGCGTAGCTTCTAGACAAGTGGCGTGACGAATCTCACAAGAGTCCTCACCCCTCT